GAACTGGAGAGCAGATAAATACCACATGAACTCACTCATTTGTGGAATATAAGGAACAACATAAACTGATGAACAAGGACTGATCCAGAGACGGAGAGGCATTGATTGGACTGTCAGGCTTTGGAGGGAGGGTAGGGGAGGGTGGGGGTAAGGGGGAAAGAGCAACCAAAGGACATACATGCAGGCATAGAGGCCTAACCAATGGACAGGGACAACGGGGTGGGGGGGTGAGGGCATGAGTGGGGGGGGTATGTGGTGACAAAAACACATATGTAATATCTTAATCAATAAAAAACATATTAAAAAATAATTATGCAATAACTCAGCTCATCTATCTTACTACATCTATTTTTTTAAATACATTTTTATTTATTTCAGAGAGGAAGGGAGAGGGAGAGAGAGATAGAAACATCAATGATGAGAGAAAATCATTTATCTGTTGCCTCCTGCACACTGGGGATCAAGCCCACAACCCGAGCATGTACTCTTACCAGGAACATCTATTTATCCCTTCAACTAAATAACAGTACTGTACAAATAGGCTTCTGGGAAGCTCAGGAATAAACTTATGCTTTTGTTAATTATTTATAGCCGTACTGTACATGAGCTTTCATTGTAAACTAGTTGAAACATTTTTAAATAGTTGAAATAGTAACTAATTAATTTTAATTATTTTGCTGACACTCTAAATGTTTTCAAGATTCAGACAGAATAAAATTCAATATACTCTCTGAAGCTTAAATTCATGTTGGTTTTTGTCCCTGTGAAACTAATAAGGAATACATTAAAATCAGCTACAGGGCAATACAAATAATTAATCAGGAATTCAGAGGAGATATAAATTCTTGTAAAGAAATTCAGACTTTCCTGAATTTAAATATGAAACTTTGCAAGCAACATTAATTTGGTTAATTAATTTCTATGAGTGTGTGTATGTGTGTATGTGTGTGTGTGTGCGTGTGTTGCACACATATGTGCAGAAAGGCTTTCCTACCCATCTGCTCTTTTCATCTTTGTATATGAATTTCTAAAATGAGGCTGGTGGGACAGGTGGCTGCTGGTCTGTTGAAAATTCTCTCTGATGCCTAAAAAATTGAAAGCTTCCAAGAAGTATTAAATCAATCCATCAGTATCACATTCTGAAAGGACAGCTGATATTTTCTGGGTGAATACACTGGCTGCCCGGATACTGACCATTTTTCTTCCTGAGGAACACTTCTCTTTTGGGAGGTCAGCTTCAGTAACACTTTAATTTGCACGACTAACCAAGCTGAACCATCACTGAAATGTATGTGGATTTAAATCAAAAGAATTGTGTTAGGGATAAACACCATTAGCCCTACTGCAATAACAATCTTATCTTACCAAATAGGAATATCAGTTGTACACACTTCAGAAAGCTACCCTGAACGGCTGAAGCCTGCAAAATCAGTAAACTTTGATTTGGTCTCTTTTTTTAAGCTGTTTAATTTTCATTTTATTCAGGAAAACAATTTTATGATTTTATTTTTTAGTATATATATATATATATATATATTTATACTCATATACTCATTGCTGGCATTTGAACATCCCCCGAGGGATGTAGCAGTGTGCCAAGTGACAGGTGGCCAGGGAGGAGCCCAAATCAGGGCTGGGCACTGCGCTACCCGCACTCATCACTGCCTACTGTGCCTGCTGCCACGGCGTCGGGAGAGGATCCTGACGCTGTGGCAACTGCACTTGCTAGCCGTGAGCCCAGTTTCTGCTGAGCAGCGCTGCCCCCGTGGGAGTGCACTGACCATCACAGGGCAGCTCCTGCATTGAGCGTCTGCCCCCTGGAGGTGAGTGTGTATCGTAGCAACTGGTCATGCCAGTTGTTCTGCTGTAACAGTCACTTAGGCTTTCATTATATAGACTAGAGGCCTGATGCACGAAATTCGTGCAAGAGTAGGCCTTCCTTCTCCCGGCTGCTGGCACCAGCTTTCCTGTGGCACCCGGGACCGAGGCTTCCCTCTGGCCCCCAGTAGGCACCTGAGACCTGGGCTTCCCTCGTAGCCCCAGCTTCATCCAGGAGGTCGTCTGGAAGGATGTCTGGTCTAATTAGCATATTACGCTTTTATTATTATAGACTAGAGGACTGGTGCACAAAATCTGTGCACTGGTTGGGGGGAGGTCCCTCAACCCGGCCTGCTCCCTCTTACGTCTGGGACCCCTTGCTCCTTACCACCCGTCTGCCTGCTGCTCCTTACCTCTTGGCTCGCTGCTCATTGGAGGCGGGAGAGGCTCCCGACACCGCCACTGAGCTCACCAGCCCTGAGCCTGGCTTCTGGCTGAGTGGCGCTCCCACTGTGGGAGCACACTGACCACCAGAAGGCAGCTCCTGCATTGACAGTCTGCCCCCTGGTGGTCAGTGCATGTCATAGTGACCTGTCGTTCCACAGGTCCTTCAGCTCTTTGGTCGATTTGCATATTAGGGTTTTATTATATAGGATAATTGACATATAACACTGTGTAAGTCTAAAGTGTACAGGGTATACATAGTTCAAAATATATATGTACCATACCTCACAGAGTTTTCTTTCTTTTTTTTTTTTTTTTTTGGTGGTGAGAATTTTTAAAATATACATTCTTAGCAACTTCAAATACACAATACAGTACTGTTAACTATAGCCAGCCAGAAATATCCTGCTTTAGACAGGAATGGGAAATGAGTTAGAATCATAACTAGGTTTATTTTTTAAATGTCAAAATAAATCCTTAAAATTATATTAGAGATACCTGATTACTGGACCGCCTAGAGCAGCTATAATTGCCATATATAAGAATAGAAGGAAGGGGAAAGGAAAAAAAGGCATATATAAAATAAGTTGAACTGGAGACAGGGTTGTTATGCGGAATTATATAAGCACTTCCTTTGTCAGGACATCCTAGAAAATAATACCACACCAGGATAATGATTTCCCTGAGTGTTTCTTTCAAAAGTATTATCCACTAGCTTCATTTAGAAGTTGTTTACTGTGTCTGAGCACATACTTTCACACTATATCCTTATAATGATCTTGAAATTTAGGTAGATGATTTGCACATGGGAAAACTAAAATTTATAAAAACTAAATAATTTGCCTAAGGTCACATGATCTTTAATTAGAAAAGAGAACCTGGCTGGTGTTGCTCAGTGGTTGAGCATTGACCTATGAACCAGGAGATCATACTTCAATTCCCAGTCAGGGCACATGACCCAGTTGCCAGTTGCAGGCTCAGTCCCTAGTAGGGGGTGTGCAGGAGGCAGCCATAAATGATCCTCTCTCATCATTTATGTTTCTATCTCTCTCCACCTCTCCCTTCCTCTCTGTAAAACCAATAAAAACATATTTTAAAAAAGAAAAGATAGACCAAGACTTTATACAATATATTTGATCATAGTTATTATTTTTAGCACAAACTGACCCACCAGGTCTTAACCCATTCAACATTTCTTAAGTTTACAACTGTCCTCTATCAGTAATACACACAGTAGATACTCCACAATAATGAGGTGCCTGTACTAGAATGTAAATGAATGCACTTTCTCCTTCAAGAACTCTCTCTCTCTCTCTCTCTCTCTCTCTCCTCTCTCTCTCTCTCTCTCCTATTTATCTATATACACATGCATACATATATATGTATACATTCATTTAGTTGATTGCTCTAGGATAAATATCTATATCACCCAACATAATATCTGTATATATGTATAATATTTATGTATAGGTTTATATTCAATTGAATTAAACAGTAAGCTTAAAGTTATAGATTAGGTATTAGAAAACTATGGCCTATTGGTTGGTTGCCTATTTCTGTATATACTATATAGTTTGTTTTTAAAATTTGTCTTTATTGTTGAAAGTATTACAGATGTCCCCTTTGTTTTTTTGTCACACTGTATATTCTGAAATACTGCCACAGCTATTCATCCACATATTCTGTGTAGGCAATACGGCCTCTGGAGCTTCAAACATTTACCATCTGACCCTTCAAGAAATACAGTGCCGGAGGGAAGAGCCTCAGCCTCATTCTGTCCCTCAGGCATGCATTGGGGTGAGGTGCTGGGTGGATTTCTCCAGTGGTGTGACTACCAGATCTTACTCTCCTGAACTCAGTTTTCCCAGTTGCTAAGGGCTACTGTCCTCAAAGGATAAGGGGTGGGCGCTGAACTTGTACCATCCCACAGGCCCTACATGCATGCTGTAAGGGTGTTTCAGGGGCAAGGCTTCTTCCACTGACATGTGCAGAGAAAGGACACAGAGAATGGGCCTGCCTATGAAAGAATCTCTCTCTTCTCTTTTCAAATCTTAGGTTGCTTTGAGGAGCCAGACACAGACAGAAGATCATTTCATTCTTTTCTAATATTCTTTTAGCCTAGGGTAACTAATCAACTTCATTTCACATTTCAAAAAAATTAGAAATAACAATGGAGCTTATGCAAATCACTGTAACAATTCCACTAATTAACAATTCAATCAGTTATTGTTTCTCCAGAATAAAGTTCATATGAGTCAAATTGTCGCTGTGGTAGCAAATGAACTTGAAGATCAAGTTTTCAAAATATTATCCAGGTTTTCTTTCTCACTGAATATATTATTTAATTGGATTGATTCAAACAATTAGCCTATTTTGAAATCTCTTCATATGCATATTGTCGGCAAGAATAAAGCACATATTTTTCAAATGCTTACATTTATAACCAAGAAATTCTCAACTTACATGTCTCTGGGACCCATCATATTCGCACCTTTCAATTTTTCCTAGGCTGCCGTCCGAGAAATAAAGTTTCTCTGCACGGTGGTCAATGGTGAGGCCATTGGGAGTGAGTATGTCTGTACTGACCACGACTTGAGCATTTTTCCCAGTCAGGGTAGATCTCATAATACTTGGATGCTGTTCATTCCAGTTGGTCCAAAACATTAAACTAAATAAATTTAAAAAATGTAAAAATAAATTAAAATTTTCATTAACAGTAAAAACATTAGTGGAAACATGGCAATGTCAAACTATTTTAAAAGAACCAAATTATTTCTCATATCTCTGGTCCTTAAGGAAGCGTAGGTAATAAAGGGGATAGGTATATTATATTTGCATGCATATTTTTCCAATTTAAAAAAATGAAACCTGGAAACTATTTCTGGAAAACAATTTTCTATGTATTCTCTCAAAGAGTAATTTAATTAAATTGAGCCAGTTTTCTGCATAGTGAGGATTTATTATAACCAGGTATAAAACCATCATCTTAAATTTTCTCTGAACTGAGAATGTGCTTACTTATTAATATCTTTTTTAGGAGATCCAATATGATCATTTTAGACATTGTTCTTACCCTACTACTTTTCTTCAATTGGTTGAAATCAAAATCTCCCTCTCCTTCCAGGTTCCTTTTTTAAATTCTGCATGCTCCATTTAAATGTTTTAGAGAAATACAATTACTAAACTATTATACTAGTATTTCTTTAGTATCTTGTTTTTTTCTCACTCAGTGAGCTTTTTCTATAAATTACAATGTTTTTTCTGGAATCCCAGGGGTTATCAACCCTTAAACATAATATTTGTTACTTAAAGATTTTATAGAATGCTTTGTCAAACTATCCTTTGAGGAAGTCCTAGGATTCTATGGCCCTTAGAGGTCACTGGAAGAGTGGAGAGGATGCAGATTCCAATCTCCAAGCCCTACTTTTACTAAAACTCTCTTTCTCTCCCCGCTCCTCCTTTCTATCTATAAGACTGTACCTAAGAGTTTATTAGAAGATTGGGTGTTACTGCTCAGGGTGGAAGATGGAAAGAAAAAGGGAAGGAAGGAAAGAAAGAAGGGAGGAAAGATGGGAGGAAGGAAGGAAGGAAGGAAGGAAGGAAGGAAGGAAGGAAGGAAGGAAGGAAGGAAGAAAGGGAGGAAGGAAGGAGGGAGGGAGGATAAGGAGAGAAAGAGAGAAAGGGAAGAGATAAATAAGAGAAAGTAGGCAGAAGAGAGGGAAGCTGACAGGAAGGCTGCTTTAAATATTTGAAAATTTATGCTTAATAAATACTGACAAGGAAAAACAATTTGACATAACATTTCACATTTAAGCAAGACTGCATATATCATGTCTATGTATAATCATTCAAAGGCAATGTAGCATTATAGCCCAGGCATCTGAAGGCCTGTGTCCATCGTAAGTAAATCACCAGAACTCGGAGAAGTCAACCTCCTCTCAGCATCCATCTCTCAACCTTCAGAGCCTCTATTTATAAGACGAAGGTACTCAATTAAGTGAAATAAGTCTAAACGTATTTCCAACTCTATAAGAGGGTCCAGGTTTAGTTCCCTCGCGCTGAGTGATTTATGTAGCTCTTTCTTCTCTCAAGTAGTCAGGGCCAGTGTTTCATGTCATCGTTTTCAGTCTCTGACTTTTCCTCACCACATCTAAAAAGAGCTCTTCTATTTCTGCTCAGTGAAAGCCAGATTGGTCTGACTTTTATTTACTTATTTCATTTCAAGATAAAGGATTTTCTAGTAGGTAATAAATATCTTCCCATATTGTATGAGAATGGAACTCCATAGATATAGATATAGATATAGATATATCCTTTTTTTCCTACTTACCCCAAGCTTTGTTCTTCAGTTTTCTTAGAATTACTTTTTTATGGCATTTCAAAAAGCATGACTTTTTTTTCTAATTTGTCATTTTATACTTGCTCCATATTATAGCCTGAGTATTTTCTCTTGCCATGAATTATTTGTAATTATTATTATAAATGTCTGCATATTCTATCGTCAACAGATGTGGACTATTTAAGCTGTAGTCTAGCATCAAATGTTGAAAATATAGCAGCAAACAAGATGTTTTGTTGTTTGTTTTCTCAGTATTTTAATTGGAAAGATCCCCAGTTGTTAAAATTACTAAATTAAATTACAAAAACACCTTTTAGTTTTCAATTCATGTTAATAGTTTTTCCCCCCCAAATATCTAATTTCAATCAGCTGTACCCTAATGTCTTTTTCATTTGCCTTTTCCAGCACAATACTGTCTGTTTCCCCTTTCATTATTTAATTTGCTTTGACTGGATTACTCATGGAAGTGATGCCATGCATTCAAAGAGTCTGGATTTTCTTTATTCACATTTACAATCCTTCTACAAAAACTAGTTCTATGAACTGTGAAAAGAGAACTTCAAAGGAAATCTTTAATTTTAAAGTGAGTTCATTTTAAAATTAACCTGACAGTCATTGGCATATAATGATAACAAAGAAATAAAAATGCACTGTTTTTACTTCTGGCATTCATCCAGGGTGAGCACATGTGGATGGTCATCCTCTGACATGGTGATGACAGCCTCCTTGTCAAAGGCTCCGGGCCGAGTCTGGTCCACGGTGTGTCTGGTGATGGATGAGGTAGTGGAGCTGGTCCAGTACAGTGTATCCCAGGCTCGGTGATAGGCAAGGCCTTCCACAGAACCCACATCTGATGGAAGAAAGAATACATTGACACTTTTATCTACAAAAGACTTGGCTTCTGGACAGAAAAAACCTTGAAGATACATATGTATACCTATATGATATTTTATTAATCATTTCTTCACAACTTCTTCAAAATAAAACTATAGTAATTGCAATGCTTATAATTGATAGTGGATTATACACAGCAAGACTGTGCTGTAAACTACTCATGGGAACAGATTTTTGTAAGAACACCATTTAAGACTGAATCTTCTCATTTTAAAAAAAAAAACTCAGTTAAGTAATTGGCATTTATATAGGAAAATGGTGGCTGTCTTATTTTCATACATTAAATATTAATTTTCAACAAGTATCCAGTTGTAACAATTTAGAGATACTTTTGAAAATCATAAGGCAGAGATACCATTCAGGTAGAATCATAATAAGTTTCCTCTTGATATTATATCTGGAGATGTCAAGGAAAAACAAACGTATAAAAAATTGCAATAGTATCAAGAAGCCAAGACCTAACTCCACCCTTGCAACTCAGTCAAAGACAGAGAATGTTTTAATAAGTTCATGCAGGAAGATCTTTGATTCTATTCAAATAATATGACCTGAAAACAAAAGAAAATGAAATGAATTGCCAGCTAAGGTATGCTTTAAATGTTAAAGAAAGATAAATGGTAGTATGTAGATTCCAGTATATACAAGTGACAATGTGAAAAATGAGTAATTATTGCTTAAAATTGTGCTCCCAATCTCTACAATAACATAGGGTAGCTGTTTCATTTTTCATAGAGGTGCTGGGTACATATCCTATACTAGAGGCCACGTGCATGGGATTAATGCATGGGAAGGGGTGTCCCTCAGCCCGGCCTACACCCTCTCGCAATCCAGGACCGCTAGCTCCTAAATGCTTACCTGTCTACCTGATTACCCCTAACCACTCTTCCTGGCTGCCTTATCGCCCCTAACCTCTCTGCTTGCCTGCCTGATGCCCCTAACTGCTCGCCTGCCTGCCTGATCGCCCCTAGCCATTCTGCCTTCCGGCCTGATTGCCCCTAACCACACTGCCTGCCTGCCTGATCACCCCTAACTGCTCGCCTGCCTGCCTGATCACCCCAGTCGCCTTTGTCTCGGCCCCACCACCACGACTTTGTCCGAAAGACATCCGGAATGACGTCTGGAAGGTCATTTGACTGTCTGGTCTAATTAGCATATTACACTTTTATTATTATAGACTACAGGCCTGGTGCATGAATTCATGCATGGGTTGGGTCCCTCTGAGTGGCCTACAGAGATCTGACCGAAACCCGCAGTCCAACGCTGCCTGCAGCTCTTATCTGCCACTCACACTCATCTCGGCCCCACTGTGCCTGCCGTGGGCTCGCACCCAATCAGTCCTGACCAGGAGAGGCTCGCGCTGCTGTAGCAGTGCTCGCCAGCCATGAGCCCTGCATCTGGCGCCCTCCCAAGGGAAGTGGCCTGGAAGATTGGGTTAAAACCAGCTCTCCAACATACCCGAGGGGTCCCAGATTGCAAGAGGGTGCAGGCCAAGCTGAGGGACCCCACTGGTGCATGATCGGGCCAAGGAGTGACCATAGAAGGGCTCCAGGGTATGTCAGGCCCATCTTGTTCAGTCCCAATCAGCCGGACCCCAGCAGCAAGCTAACCTATAGGTCGAAGCATCTGCCCCCTGGTGATCAGTGCACCCCATAACAAGCGGTTGAGCAGCCTTAACATATTATTAGCATATTACACTTCGATTAGTTGTTCGGTTGTTCTGCCATTCAGTCTACTTGCATATTACCCATTGCTATATAGGATAATAAAACCCTAATATACAAATCGACCAAAACTGCAGATCGACCAGTCGCTATGACATGCACTGACCACCAGGGGCCAGATGCTCAATGCAGGAGCTGCCATTGGTGGTCGGTGTGCCCCCATAGGGGGAGCACCACTCAGCCAGAAGCTGGGTTCATGGCTGGTGAGTGGCAGCCTTAACATATTATTAGCATATTACACTTCGATTAGTTGTTCGGTTGTTCTGCCATTCAGTCTACTTGCATATTACCCATTGCTATATAGGATAATAAAACCCTAATATACAAATCGACCAAAACTGCAGATCGACCAGTCGCTATGACATGCACTGACCACCAGGGGCCAGATGCTCAATGCAGGAGCTGCCATTGGTGGTCGGTGTGCCCCCATAGGGGGAGCACCACTCAGCCAGAAGCTGGGTTCATGGCTGGTGAGTGCAGCGGTGGGGGTGGGAGCCTCTCCTGCCTCCGTGGCAGCACTAAGGACTCCTTGTGGGATGTCTGCCTGCCTGCTTAGGCCTGCTCCTCGCCAGCAGGCAGACATCCCCCAAGGGGTCCCAGACTGCAAGAGGGTGCAGGCCAGCTGAGTGACCCCCCACCCCCAGTGCCCTAATGTCGTGCACTGGGTCTCTAGTTTAAGTACAAAAAAATTATACTTTTGCCTTCATGTTACCTGTTTTCCTCAGAGTTATTACTTTTAGCATGTTAAATTTGAGAAAAAATGTGCACAACTTTAGCAGTCATACTAATAAATTAACATTTAGCAGGAAGGGCCTTTTTGTTGTTTTTCTCTCAAGGAATCTCTGAAAGGAATTGTTCAGAAAATAAGTAGATAAAAAGGGTTATTTTAAAGTTTAGAATGGGTAAATACTTAGTTTGGTGGTCAATAAAATTTAGTGGGAATGAAAAAATATTAAAGCCATTTGAACTAGATTTATTTAATGAGACTAAACATGTCATTATCCTCTTTTTCTACATGGGATAGAGAAAAATCCACTAATAAAAATTAATTGCTACCATTTATTGAGCACTGTATTTCTGCTAGAAAATGTTACATGCTTTGCATACATCACTTTATGTATGAATCTACTCTGTGAAGTTGATTTTATTGTTCATCTTGTCCTAAGAAGGAAACTGAAACCTATGGTCACAGAATTGATAGTATTAAAGCAAAATTTTTAGTGCAGATTCATTTGCTTCTAAAAGCCTATATTCTTTAGCATGACTACTAGTATTTAGAGATGAGTTTAAGCACCTAGGACTATTCTCAATCTACACAACGCTGGAACCAAACAAATGATTCATGCATTTTAAATTGTCTGACTCTGGGTGAATTGTATAACCAGCAATTCACCATGAAAAGCCTCCCCTCACACAGTCAACAAAATAATTTATAATAAATAATGTGGGTGATTAGATTGGAAACTTAAGCCAGAGATGATAGAAGAAACATTATAAAACATAATCATAATAAAACCTGTTAAGCTCTTTTTATCTGAATCATAATGTGTTCTTATTTGAAGTGAGTAGGATGGAGGTTGATAATGGCCAAAGGTGTTTCAATTATTAAATAATAAATCATCCATTCCATGGTATTTTTTTGCAATATCAAATCACTTAAGAAATGATTAACTGCATTAATAGTATAAGCGGCATTATATTCCTTCAGAATTCACAGATAAAATGAGAAATGGCATAGTTTAAAATAAATTCCAAGCAAATCAGAATCATTAATCCAGCTTCACTCTGTACCTTCCCCTTTAACTGACTTTGACAGATGTTCATCATGGGAACTTTTTTCTACAAATTAGAAAGAAACCACTTGGCATCATCATTGAGAGGAAGTTGATGGTTGACCTAGTAACCCTGAGGTTACTATATACACCTCACCGTCCATGTATAATCTCTTTTATTGTATTTTGTAATAGATGACAGCCTGACAGTACACTTAATCATAATCTGATGCTACATTTAAAAATATTTCAGTAATATATGTCTTTCTCAAAAATATCTGTCTTTATAATTGTGTTTGTCATTAACAAATTGTCAATTAAACATCTGCCAAATTTTAAAAAAAAATCACAAAAAATATTGTACTAGTACTTAAGATAACATAAGATATTTATGTCCATTTTATGATGATTTAATACAACATGGGGTCATGTGGCATGTGTGTGAAGGGTATGTGTGTGTGTGTGTGTGTGTGTGTGTACATTAAGGTTCCTAAACCAGATAAACAGGTACAATAAGAGCTTTGAATTACTAGTCCGAGCAGATAATCATGCAGTTTGAAAATTAAAGTAAAATACCTATCTATCTAGTCAACTAGTCCTGAAATATTGAATAGACTAAATCACTACAGAGTTAAACGTTCTTGGAACTTGAGGATATAGAATAGACATAATTAAGAAAAAAACTCTCACAGTGCTAATTCAGCAGCTCCGTATGTCTGATGGATAGCTAGTAAAAATACCACCTTCTCACTTCATACACTTTCAAAGTAAAAGAGTCCCCTTCCCTCCCCATCTCCCCTCTTTGATCAGGTAATTGGGTTTGGCTAAGCATGAATGAGGTACTAATGTGCTTTGATAGAAATAAAAAGATGAGATCAATTCATCAAAGATCCAAGGCAGGCAAATAACTCAATCATTGCTAAACTAATTTGCTGAGTTCTAGTTTTCACAGCAATGAGTGGCAAAATTGATCCTACTAGTCTGTCACATTGACACCAACCACTACTCTACAGCTACTCAGAAGAGTTCACAGAGATCATCACTGAAGTGGGAACAGCAGTTCCTTCCGGCCTGTACAGTGTTCTGAAGGCAGGATAAGGGCTTGTGGGATGCAAGTGGCAGTAAAGGATGTGCTTGGAAGGGAGTCACATATACAAAACATTGAATTCTTTGGCTGGAGAAAGTTATGGATAAATACTGCTACGAAGTTAACAGAAACCATACTTATCTCAAGAACATGCTCTAACAGTAAAGTGTCACAATGGCCTTCCTGTTGAAAGGGTACTAATCCCTATTCACTGGCTTCTTTTCTAAAGTCAAGGAGTATCATAAAGCTTCCTGTTTGAAGCTTGGTACAGAGTTTAAAATAAGAAGTTTCTGGTGCAACATCCCATTTCGATCTTAAATTTGTAGTTTCCAGAGAAACAGGATACTGGGTCCAATTCATAGTGTAGACCTGGTAT